TTTTGAAAAAGAAATAATTTTTCATTAGAATTCATCTCGTCGATATGACAAAATTATCTTATACTGCAGCATTTGTCATAAATCTTAAAATAATTTACTTGTTAATGTATTAGATTAAATTTACTTGTTCATGTTCGTTAAAAAATTTCGTTAAGTGATACGTGTTATAATTTATTAATTTTAAAATTAAAAAAAAAACTTAAAAATATTTTATTTTCAAAAACCCCTATTTTTTCTAAAATACCAAAAAACCTAAACTATGAAAATCTCTTATTTTAGTCTCATTTACTCCAATCGTTAGTCACCTCCGGCCACCCATTCACCGGCGGCAGGCCACCCATACATCGTCGACCACCCACTAACCAGTTACAACTCTTAATTTCATCTCAAAACCTAAAATTCTCAAATCTCTAAATTTCAATCCCTAAAATCTCAAATACTCAATCTCTTAAATTCATTTGATTGACAGTAGTAATTGGTTGTTTAATCAACTATAGAAACCGATATCTTTTCCATTTAATCGGTCGGCCGTTTGAATTTTGATCGTTTGGCCATGAAAATTAAATCCACGAAAGGGAGGGAGAGCAGAGGAGGGATAGGGGAGGCACGCGTTGGCCTTTTTTTTTAAAAAAAAATCTTTTAAAATTTTTTATAAAAAAAAATTAAAATTATAGGTTTGTAACACGTGTCGTTTAACAAATTTTTTTAATGACTGTTATAATTAAAATACCTAAATTAATAATATTTTTAATGTTATGCATCTAAAATGGTAACATTTATAATTTTAGGCATCTAAAACAGATTTTCAATAAAAAAATACGTATAAAAAATTAAAATATATGACAATTGATAATTTTAAAATTTTAGGTGGTGACCTCCCCACCCGCCCCGGGTAGGCCTATCCCTGGCCACATGAACACTGGAGCTGTGGTATGTTTTGGTTCCCTTACATAAGAATGCCTTTCTTCTTTTGGCTTTTGAAATCGATAATTGTTGTTTTTATTGGTGTTGGAATATTGTAATTGCTACATCGAATTCATTGTTTCGATTAGGAATTAGGATGTAGGTGTGATCAATGTAGTAAAGAACTTAAGATAGAGAACAATAAAAACCAAGGCTTGAAATGAAATAGGAAATCGCCCCAAGTTTATACTTGATTTTGCGTTGTTGTTTACTGACCGAACTTGATTTGGCAAAGTGCTGCTTTTCACAAATGTTACGATGAGACAGTTCGAGTTTTGTTGGAGGTATTCACTAAGAATTTTAGCAATATTTGTTGAATCTTTAGGTACGTGGATTTCTGGGGCAACAACAATTGGAGGAGGCTTTAACAGGGATGGACCTTGTAATTATTCCAGCTGGAGTTCCTAGGAAACATGGAATGACAAGAGATGGTCTTTTCAACATCAATGCTGGAATTGTTAAGACTATGTGAAGGAATTGTGAAGTGTTGTCCCAAAGCTATTGTCAATTACTTTCATGGTAGCTACATATTTTTCCATTGTTGATTAGTCGATGTTGGTTTTGTTAGACAATGTTGGATAGCCTTCTTTGGTAATCATTTTCACATGGCATAGGCATATAGCAGAAAATTTAGTCTATCTGTGATGAATCTAAACGTTTGCAGCCTAGTTGTCTTCATTGTTGTGTACCGATATTCACTAATAACTATTGCCCCATTGTTTTGGTATCTTTAGAGGTGGAAGTTTTGGGTCTGGACCCACGAGAGGTTGATGTTCCAGTTGCCGGGGGGACATGCAGGGGTTACTATTTTACCTCTTTTATCTCAGATTCAAGGGACTTGTTTCCAAGCATTAACGTGCTAGCTAATTTGAATTAAAATGGCATTCTATGTAACAATCTCCTTATACAGGTTAAGCCCCCATGCTCTTTCACCGCAAGAGAAATTGATTATCTGACAGATCCTATTCAGAATGGTGGTACAGAGGTCGTTGAGGTAAAGCATATTTTTTTTCCTTGACTGAAAACTCAAATGGCTTGAAATGCCCTAGTGATCTAAAAGTTATTAAATCCAAGTATAACACACCTACTAGTTAGCATTCTATAGGCCATTTTTGTTGGAGTCCGTATTTTCCATCTTGTTATCCAGTAACTCGATCTATATAGAAACATTACCAGTTGCATCTGGAGATTGAGAAAAGGACACGTTATGGGGTAGAAGTGACTTTTCTTTGCTATAACATGGATCAATTGAAACAAAATGCTCCGAGAAAGTAACCGTACAGGATTTATGAATTAGGGCATGATTTAATGATTAAAGAATAATTGTTTAGAAATGAACTGATAAAAAGATGATGCTGGGGGATTAAGTGTTATTTGATCTAATGCAGCTAGCTGCCTTTAAAATTTTCAGGTAGTCCTACAAATAAATCTAGCCATGTCCTGAGCTTTTAACGATAAGGATGAATCCAGAGCTTTGCATTTCTATTTTTCTTAATGGACTTGTAACTATTAGCGATGATTACATTCTTCTCTACATCAATGGATTTAATTTTAACTGTAAGACAAAAAGTTGAGCGCACCACATTTGTACTTCATGCGCCACTCATTCTGTCAGTTATTCTGAAGTTATCCACTTATGTTACTTCATGTTCGCATCATTGTCTGGGTTCTGGAAACTTATTTATTCCGGTGTTCTGTTCCCATGTGATGTATGCACACTTGAAGTCTGGTGAGTGACCCATTATGTGCAACTTCTTGCAGGCATGATTTTAGCTGAAGCTTAATGCATATCACAAAACATAAATAAAAGTGCAGGCATACGTTGCTGTTAAATTTGCTGATGCATGTCTCCGTAGCTTAAGAGGTGATGCCAGAATTGTCGAATGTGCATATGTTGCATCTCATGTATGTTATACAGGTCCACCTACGCTTGAATCTCTCTCTCTCTCTCTCTCTTCCTGTTCTAGGTTTTTTAACAACTAGTATATTTCCTTTTGCAGGTAACTGAATTACCTTTCTTCGCATCCAAGGTAAGACTGGGTCGTTCCGGTGCTGAGGAAGAAATACACCCTCTCGACCCAATTAACGAGTATGAGAGGTCTGTAACAGTAACCATCTTTGTTAGATGTAATAAAATATCTCACTGTCCAATATTTTATTTAAATCTCACCATGAAAATCCCAATGATGATCAACAGGGTTGGCTTGGAGAAGGCAAAGAGGGAGCTTGTAGCTGGCATTCAAAAGGGGATTTCATTTGTCAACAAATAAATACGGGTAGCTGATAACTTGGTTTCCCCTTAGAAACACTATATTTCTATATTCCATTTCTCAAAATAACGTTCACAAGCGTCGTAATTGTCAAATAAAATATTTATTTTTCTCAAATAAAATAATGAGTAAATTATATAAATGATCACTCAACTATAGGGTTTGGTCTCGAAATGACTATCATTTTTAAATTTGCGTCAATATGATCACTAAACTATTTAAATAGTTTAAATATAGCTAATTGCCGTTAACAATTGACGAAAGTGTTTATGTGACAATTAACAAAATTGGTATAATTAGAGCGCGGGTCCTTGTAAAGTTACATATGCACGGCACTTATACACTTTATTTTCTTTCATTTTGGTCACTACTTGTTAGGGATGGCAACCTGAATACAATAAAGATGACAGGGAGGAAATGGCTAACTGAATCCATGGCATGAACCTGAAAACAGTATCCACAGCTGCTGCCATAACCAGGGGCGGGCGTTAGCCGTTGGACCGATGTGCCCTGCCCCCCAAAAAATGAAAATTAGTATTTGACATCTCAATTTTAAAAAAAAAAATCTAGTTCCTTCATGATTTTTAATATTTTCACTTTTAATTTCTTTGAATTTTTAATTTAATTTCTTTTTTTTATTTTTTTTAAATTTATCATTAAGTTTCAAAAATTAAAAAACAATGAATTTAAACTTCTAAACTTTTCAAAAAAAAAATTAGATAAGTATCGAAAATATTTTGCCAAAATCCTTCACCATATCCATAACCATCATTGTCAAGCCATTTGCCCACGGAATTTTGTTTGTTAATCATATCAGTGTGATTTATTTTTGTTAATCGGGGGAAATCATAGAATCAAAATTTCAAATTACCAAGTAAAAAGGGTTAAGTAATTCTTTTTTACATGAATTATATTCAATTTCAAATAAATAACACTGAAAAATCATCTATAAAATTGAGAATGTTTTATATGATATTAAAATATTATGTATAATTCATGTACTAAAAGAGTATTTAAACCAAAATTAATAATAAATACTTCAAGTTTGTAGATAGACACAACAAACAATTTGTAGTCGATATAAATAAATATTTGTCTACATGTTAAACGTTTAATACAGTAATTGCGTACGCGTATGGTATTTTGTTTAAAAATTTCGATACATCAATTAATATAGACTGTATACGTATTTTACATGATGAATGAAAATAAAATACCCAAAAATAAAACTCTCAAGTGGTTTATTGATTAAAAAGAGAATTGTTCTTTTTAGAGGTCTTAAATTCGACCAGATATGTCTATAGGGCGTATACACGTTATCAGTAGGTAAATAAAATTTAAAAAGATACTATTTTATGATTATTTGAGAATATTAAATTTTTTTAAAAATAATACACGAGGAGCATATATTGACATAATAAATGGGATTGGGATAATGGGCTCAATGAGAGGAGATTGAAACCAGGGGAGGGGATTTGTGGTAAATTTGCACCTTATCCCAAGCTATTCTCTTAAGTTCTGTGAAATTCAAACAGGGTCAATGAAATAAAAATGGAACAGGGGAATGAAATGGGAATCATATTTGTTTCAATGTTTTGTACGTGTTTATTGTGAAGCCTTCAGAATAAGGCCTTGACATTGTGTGCAGTGTATTTGTCACGATTGATGTTGGCTGATTATGAGAACTCATGTCTGTTTATTTCTGCTCTTTTTCTTTCCTGTAGAATATATTGGCTCAACCGAGAAAGGGACCGGGTGGTATTTCAAATGGGCACTTCTGATGCTGTGAGGGCTCCGGAGGCAGCTCAAATAGTGTATGTTTATTCCGGTTGCATTCTTTTTCCTCATTGTCATGAAGTTGAGATGATGACCCTACACATTTGTTTGTTTGCATCTTCTGTACGCACGTGGTTCTTTTAGCTTCAAGTCAAGTACTATTAATTATGTTATTTGTATGATAATCTGGAAAATATCCCTTTTGTTCTGTTAGATTCTGATGACTCGTTTGTTATGATCAAATTATTTTCATTTTTACCTTTGCAATTCTCCCACTAAGAGTTTTCTCCGTGTGCAAGTTGGCTAGAGTTGTAGGTTAATTGGGATGGTTGGGCTCACATTAATGTATAACTACATATAGGGGTTGAAGTTGGAATCCATCCACATTTGTATATGCTGTGGATATCAATACGGGTTGCCCCAAGTCATTTTCTGTGAGTGGAGGTATGGGTGCTGCTTTTGACATCAACTTGGGTTGCCCCAAGTCATTTTGACAGCATAGAGTTATATAGCCTAAGAGGAGTCAGGGATAAAATAGTTGCACATAAAACATTGTTATGACATCAACTAGGCATTAAGGACACCACAGGGATCACACTTCTGTGCTGCCCTCATTTATGTTTGTAGTTTTATCCATTTAAGATTCGGAAGTTCTTTTGTTTTCTTAACGCTTTATTATATTTTTCTCGTATAATTTGCAGAAAAGTTCTAGATAGGCCAAGGGACCCAGCAAAGTGGAATGAGATTGCCGATGTTGTATCCGCATTATCTATTCCAGTTATTGCAAATGGTGATGTTTTCGAATATGATGATTTTGAACGCGTTAAAGTTGCAAGAGGTGTCCCTAAGGTACTCTCTAACTTCTAATGATATCTTTAAATATATTTTTCTGGTTTCCTACTGGATTCCAAGCTCTTTGAACTTTAAGGCAGTTGCACAACGCCATAATGTTTCTTATTTTGCTTTTGTACTGTGTCCTGGTATGTGTAAATATTTTTCTTTTAGGTGCTTCATCGGTTATGGCTGCTAGAGGTGCTCTCTGGAATGCTTCAATTTTCTCTCCTGAAGGTAAAGCAGATTGGGAAGATGTGAAAAGAGAGTATGTTAGGAAGGTAGGTATCTCTTAACTTGCGAACTGCAAGACAGCTTAAAATTGTGCTTTGCAGTTCCTCTTCCAAAGAACGATAATATTTATTCTTGTATCTACACCAATGTGAACAGTAATGCAATTTTATTAGCTTTATTTATTAATTTTACGTATGCGTCTTAGGTATAAGAAACATGATATGAAATCGAAAACTAAACATATGCCTTCGGAGATTGAGAGTAATGGTCATCACTTAAGATTTTGTCAATTTATATTGCATATGTGGTTTCTAGCGTGCTGATTAAGTTTCATATCCTGGTATTGGATCAGACATTCCCGAGTTACCAAGTTTACAAGTTTCTTGGACTTGTTATTTCAGAGCGTATTATGGGATAATGATGTTAAAAGCACGAAGCACACGCTAAAGGAGATGGTAGTGCATTACTCCTGCCTTGAACACCCAGAAGGAAAAGCTGTGATCAAGTCGCAAAGTTTGGCCGATCTAGCGTAAGCCCGCCTTTACATTCACCTCTTTCAGCCTAAGTAATTTGCTTTTGCGTGTGTCTGTCATGTGTATTATTGCTCCGATTGTTCAGGAAAGTTTACGGAGTGGAAGAGTATTACCAGTTGGTTAGCGGTAACAGGTTCTCACTCGATGGACAGACTGCGTGAAGAAGCTCCGGCAAGCCGAACCATAAACTAAATACAGATAGATGAGCTAGCAAAAAGGAGGTGCCAGACCCAGTCTCCTCTGTTGTATCTTTAGTGAATATAATATGTAACATTGATTGTTTTTGTGGAGCATTTTGATCTTCTAAAGTAAAATTTGTTCAGGGAAGGTGAAGCTATCATATATTTACTTAATTATACATTACCCTCTAAACTAAAACTTGTATTTTGTCTCATATTTATGTTTTTCTATAAAAAAAAATATTAAATGGGTGGGAATGTTGTGTCATGTTATCATCTAAACTTTTATATACTTTTTTAAATTTTATATTTAAACTTAATTAAATAATTAATTTAAACCAATTCTTATCTACAAACAATCTTTCAGAATCTCCTTCAAACTCATATTTCACCTTCTGTCCAAAAAAAATCCCTCCGGTTTCACCATTAAGCTTTCCAAATTTTTAACATTAAATATTTAGAATCCTTTTCCACAAGTTTTAAACTGGAAAACAAAAAGTAATCTTAAAAAATAATACCAATTACAACTATATAGCATCAATAACAAACAAATTTATGTACCATTTCTCTGTCTCATATGATTTTTTCCTTTGAACTCGACAATAAATTTCCTCAGTCATCCTCTCAAACCACATTTCATGTCTACCACAGAATTCAAACTACAACAAAACACACTCCCACAAGGTCTCTGTGTCGTTCAAAGAATTCAGTTCATTTGTCGGCGATGATGGTATCACTCAAGTCAGTGTCCAAGAATTCTTCTTTCTCCTCCCTCATTGATTTATTAGTAGATTGACAATAAAATTTTAACCATCTTTTTTCATTATCAACACCATAATTTATCGAATAATTTCAATAATTAAAGAGTATTGTTCGAACAATTTTGTTGGTGGTTTTTCTTATATATTTCCCAAGGTTGTTTTTTCATTTGCAATGCTATATTATAATCCAATCCATCCATAGCAATCTTAATACATCTTCTCTCTATGTTGGTGTTGACTGCATCATTTATTAAATAAGTTGCTGCTTTCAACATCGACATTAATAAGATCGGACTCATAGGCGTAGCTGACCACAGCCCAGCTTAAGCGACGCCACCCTATTATACTCTGTAACCTTAGTCTTCCCTGCAAGCTTCTTTAAATGCGTTTTTACTTAAAACAGAGCAACAAACTGAAGAGCCAATTATAATCGGTCTTCCCCCGCAATGAAGTCATCTTGTTTTAGCGGTTCAATGCAAATCCCTTGGAAATGAACTTGCAAATTATTATTATTCACGCATTTCTTGGGTTGGTTGAATTCCTGTCTCCACCAGCAACGACAAGGACCATTAATTAGGTCCCTTGCTTGTACGCTTTTGACATTTCTCTTACAGCATCTGTTGATATAATCACATGTTGTCCTTTGTGTTTTTAAGACGTTCTGATAGAGTTCGGGGTTCTCTCGTTGAACAAAATTGGGAAAAAAGAAATTTACATTTGAAGATGAGTTACCCAATGCATTTATGGAGGCAATGAGATTAAAGAAGAAAGAAAATCAGGGAGATTATAAGATCGGGCACACATTCTACGTAATATAATATCCATAATCAGTAATGTTCTTAAACACTTTCAACAACCATCGTAAACTTGTGACAGAAACATAAAAGTAAACTGATTCTTTCTAGTACTCATCAATCTTGCATTTCTCTGTTGTTCTTGGTGCTGTAGACAGAAAGAAAACACACTTCACATTAGCCTAAGACTGTCCGTCTACAATTCACAAGAAATCAAAAGAAAAATAATGATAAGTAATCTAGCAAGGCTAAGCGGACTAGGCTTTGGCCATGATTATAAGAAATCTATAACATGAAATCACACTAATGAAAACTGAAAGCACAATCCACACACCCGGTTTCCACAATGAAGTGATGTTCAGATAATAAAAAATTACTTACCTAATCCAATCGGATCAGTACTCTTCATAATTTTCAGCCTCTTGCACGTTTCAGTAAACATCCTGAGACGAAACCAAATCACAGTTCAGGGGGGTGAAGGTAACCTCAGTGCGGTATCTCAATCCAACAGCAGTTAAAGTTTTATTATGGAGCAATTCAATTCAGGACCGAAATCAAGACTTTTAAAACAACAATCTATCATCATGTTCAACCTTTTTTTTATCAAAAGAAAGGCTCCAAACTATTAGCTGTAAAATTATTCTCATTGTACCATATTGTGGAAAAGGGAAAAAAATTGTCTCAACCACTATTCTTAAAACCCATATTATGAATTATGACCTAACCAAGCGGTTACTTCTATTCACATTGGCAGGAAATAGGAGAGCTAGAGCTAAAGTGCTTGCCTAAATAAGTAATCATAATATGTAAACAAGCATACAATGTAATCACATGTTTACTGTCATTTGTATCTACGTTAACCATTTCTGAAATTAAAGAGATTCAATCTATAAAAGATACTCCAACATTTCAGACGTGATTAACGATTTCAAAAAGAAAACATCAAGGCAAACAGTAACTTTCAGCGAATGAAGCTTACTCCCATGGAACATCCCCGACAAGCATCCAGTCACCATCTTTATCTTCATACGTTAGCACATATTCTGATCCACGTGAAAGATCCTTCCACTTGCTCTCACTGGAGATTTCCTTCCCAGGAGCTCCATGAGACCCACATGGACCTAAAATCATAACAAAATGCGGTCACCAGACATATGCTAAACATTAACAATACCGTAAACATGTTTGTTGCACCAAAAAGTACATGATATTGCCGCAAGGCAAAGAGTACAGCAGTAGCTTACCAAGCGTAAAGCAACTGAACATCTTCTCAAGTGCAGAAGACAGCTCCCTATAAGTTGAATAAGTTCTCAAATCTACCTTCCTCAAATAAGGAGCCCCATTCATACTGACCTTGACAAAAAGAGCACCTGGACCAGGTTTTCCATCAACTTCATCACTGTTCTTAGAACTGGCCAGCGTTTTGGTCCTAAATGATCTAACTGGTGGCCAGCCAACAACCTGTGCCCTGTCAAGGATGATATATCACAATAACAATCAAATAAAAATGGTCATTACATAATTCCATTTATCCCAATCAAAGATTAAGAGTCCTTTCTCAAGTATTCTTACTTGGCAGCAGGTGCACCGCTGTTGTGGTTAGAAACGCCAGTTTGCTTAAGGTTGGCTACATTGGTGGTTTGAACGTTTGCAGGCCCATCTTTCTTTACAGATGCTTGAACTCCAGAAGATCTTGCTGACATCACATTAACCCCTGAATTACCAGGACATTGACCATGTCCCACAGGCTGAGATTCAGAACTACCTCCACAAAACATCCAATCTTTTTCAGTGTGTAGAGAGCCTTTCACCCGGGAGAACCCATCCATGGTGTCATAGAACCCCCTTTTGTATCCAGTAACAGCACTTTTCTGTGATGAAGAGCAGATTCCATCTTTAGAAGGAAGTAGAGGAAAAAGTGCCTTCTCATCAAGTTTACCCGTGTTCAGCAAGCAAAGATCGGCATCTCTCTCAGGGGATTGAGATCCAGGAAGACCAAGCCTAAGATCTGTCGCCTTCAAATTAAGATTATTTCTGCTACCCTCTGGCAAGCTTGAGACACCAGAGATGTTAACTGAAGAGCAATCTGGCAATCCCATATAATTTATCTCCTTTAAACCCTGGACATTCTGGGAGACGCACTCAACAGAGGGAGAAGGAACACTACTTTGCCCTCCCTCCTCCACGCCCAGTAGCGGTGGAGACATCAGAACTAAAAACTTCTCAAGACAGCCTCTTTTGCTGCATAATGAAAGAATTACAAATCAAGTCTTCTTCTAGTCCAAGAACAACACCCTTAAGCCGAATTAAATAAACAAGATTCGAAGCCACTACGAACTACAACAGATCAACATCTACTTACAAAGATATATAAGCTAAACTGTCAAGTAGACCAATCTGGTGAAAAATCACCATGCATCAGCAGTTTCTAAACCGATAACAGCATCTGTGAAACCCACTTATCCATTTTCTTAATCAATCCTAGCTGCCAGAATTTGTTAATTTGTGTCATTTTTAAAGGAAACGATCAAAGCTAATTAAAGTTTTCACTTGTTCAAGCTCAGAAAAAGGTGTAAACCAGCTAATCTGCATTCAACCAATCTACAAACTAGATTGCATGACAATGGAAAAACCCCAAGTAGATTACCAACTTCAACAAAGACCTCTTAAAATGTGGAAAGAAGAAAAACAGCAAGGCAAAATCCTGAGTCCAAACTTTACAAAGAACATTATTAAAAAAATTAACTCTTCTTAGCGTTATCTTCCACTAGGTTTCCCAGAATGATAAAGCTTAAACTTTTTAGGATGAAAACGTTAAGATTAAGCTTTTTTTAGTACCAAAATAACCAAGAAAAAGGGAAAAAGTAGATTTGTAACTATCTTATGCATTTGGTATTGTCAAGAGTGTTGAAATTTCCATTTTCCTGAATAATAAGCTGAACCGGAAAAAATGATAGAGAAACCAAACAAAAGATAAAAGGAAAAAGGGGGAGGGGGGAAGAAAGCTTTTCTTCTTCCTTTTTCTTCTGTTGTCACGGCAACCAAACAGAAACACACGGATAAAACCAGAATCCAAAAAATATACTGAAAAGAAGAAGGTGCAAAACAAAAACAAAGAAAAAAATACAGGTCCAGAAAAAATATGAAAAAAACCAGAAAAAAGAAGTCTTACCGGCGAGAAAAAAAAATTAAAGGTAACAAAGAGAAGAAGATCGGTTGGTGCTTTCGAAAACTGCCAAAGAAAATGCAGACGAAATGAAAAGCAGAGAAACAAAGAGAGCTTAAGATCCTTTCAATAAGCAAAAAAAAAAAAATGTTTAACCGGGGAACTCAAAAAGGGTAAAACCGAAAATTAACACAAAAAACAGTGCGAATTTTTAAATAAAAAGACAAGTTCATTTTATACTGCGTTATTAAAGGAGAGGTA